ACTAATTAATAATTTTGCAAGGCAATTGGAAGTTGACAGGATTCTGAAAATGCCCCCTTAATTAAATTAGAATTTGATACTTAGAGACTGGGGATAATATAGTATTTTTCACACAAATCTGCTGAACGCTTAAAAGTCCAAACAGTAGGGTTCGAGTTCGGTGAGGAAAATGACAGATCCGCTCATTTAAAAATTTAGTCTGTCTACGAAAGACCTATTAATTAATTTATTTGTGATATTCGATTAGTAATGCAGTCATAATTACAACGTTTAATTTGGATTTTAGTCTTAAGTATAAAGTACGTATTTAACTGTTTGCATACTGTAGCGTATGTGTTACCACAGAAGAAATGCTATACATGAACATCGGCTTGTACTCGAGTATGAATAATTTTGTCATGACTGAACAAAAAGAAGAGGAGGAGATATTATACTGATTAAAAATAAATCTTTTTCTAGCCTAAAATGTTATGGAAATATATAATTTTTTCTTTTATCGTTACGAATTTATATTTTTGTTTAATTCTTCTTAAAGCACATTAGTCGGCCCTAAATATCGTATCAACTTAAGAAAGTAATTGCTTGCGGGTATATACATATATGAACATAAATCCACCGTTAATGACACTTGTCAACAATTTTGAACTTCAAATAGAAACACACAAGCGTTTTTAACTTTTCAAAAATATTTTTAAAATAAATTTATTTTTTTTATTTTTTTTAAAATTAAATTTTTTTACATTAATTTCACATGTTAATATAAAAAATAAATTTAAAAAAATATTTTAATATACTTTTAAATAAAAAAATATTTTTAAAAACAATTTAAATAGACTTATCAAACAAAAACATGGTATTGTTAGTTATTACCTTACCGGCCGGCCAAGGGAGGGCTAATGATATGCATGAGTTTGTGTATTGACTTCCTTTCGGGTTTAAAATTGAATATTTATAAATCAAATGAAAGACATGTATATATTTTTCTCAAAATAAGAAATTCTGTTTTTGAATATTTCTCGACTGTTTACTTGAATAAGAAGTGTATAACGCATGGCACATGCATAAATGAGAAGCGTCACCAGCCATGAAATAGTAGCTTGATCCCTATTTTGTTCCTGCAGTTTCAGTCCAAGTCTGTTTTTTTTTTTTAATTTTTACATTTTCACTATTTGGTTCTTGTAGTTTTGAATATCTACTTTTCAAACCTAAACTTCGTTTCCCTCAAGTTTTAGTCCCTCTTAGTCAATAGAGGAGTGAGAAAATCATTTAAAAAAAAAAAACAGGAGAGAAAAAGCTTCAAATCAGTCATTAAAAAAACCGAACCTTATATGAATGAGTTCATCTTAGAAAAAAAAGTTCGATTAATCATGTTGAAAAAAATAAATTGAAATTCATAAAAAAAATTTGCTTGTTTTGATTCTAGTATGTTAGACTAGTTAGAGAGTGTTTTTTGAGTTAGAAATAGAGTTATTAAAGTTATTATGATTTTTTAAAATATTTTCAAGTTTAAGCACAATGAAAATCAAGCTTTAGAAATCCAAAACTCAACCTTAATTTTTTTATCACTGAAAATGACCAAAATTTATTACAAAGTGTTGTCCATTCTACTCTATGTTAAAAAATTACGACATGCTTATTAAAATTATTAAGTGCACTTAGGTTTTTTTCTTTGATGCTAGATGCCTCTAGCTTTTTATAAATATCTCTTCAATTTTTTCCAAATATTTTAAAAATTATCTAATTATAATATTGTTTTCAAATAAGATAGAGGTCCCAATGACAATATCAATAATTACTTCATAAATAATTATATATCAATCTAATATACATATTTATTTTTAATGCTGATTAATACTTTAAAATAATAAAATATTTATTTCATTATTTTTTATATAATTTTATCAAATTAATTATTTTTTTTATTTTTTATGTATTCTTGTGAAAACTATTTATAGAAAATTAGTTTTTCAATCATGATCTTTTCATTTAATCAACAACTCTTCTTATATATAAAAAAAAACACTTTCATCCAAACAAAAAAGAAATACCTGAATAAAGAAATGGAGTTTTGATTAAACATATATATGATTTTTTTGTTAATTTAAGTTATTAGAAGTTTTTATGAATATTTATTTTTTATTCAAAATACTTGAAGTTATGTTTTGTCAAAATAAAAAAAAAATACATGAATAAAAAATAAATTTATTTTAAACATACTCTTTTCAGAATTTAAATCCGTTTTTTGTATCTATTTTAATTATTATAAAATCAAATTCAAAAATTGCCCCCCCTCGTACGAGCACACTTACTAGTGACTAGCACATTGACTTCCTGTCTAGCTACTTACTCAACGTGCTCAGAAAGTTATTAGCACTCAAATTTGAACCTCCCTTCAGACACAAAATGCCTGTCTGTTTTCTATTTTTTGGAATTTGGATAGTAATATGTTATTTCTTTATTATCCCTTCATCATTGACTTCAAGTGGGCAATGACAAGTTCCATCGACTCGAAGGGAAACCTAAAGAGATTAAATGCGCAGAAGTTATCCAGATTTACAGAAAAAATTTCCCATCCAGTAAAAACAACATGAAGCAACACAGGCTAAATGTCCCTTGATCCCATTTTTATTTTTATTTTATAAAAAACCAGCTTCTGATGCTATATTTGGGTGCCAACCACTTCCTGTGGTGGTGTTCCTGCTACTAACCACTTACAATTACTCCTTTCTCGGCTCTGATGACTTATCTTCATGCCCTAAAATCTTTTAGCAGAGATATCTTGCTAGAGCTACGTACCGTCGATCCTGCACAGAAATTTTGTAATCTTCGCTAGAGTTGAACATGCATACATGTGATCTTAATATTTGGGCAAGTAGGCTTTATACATCCAATCACAGAAGACAACGATTTATTACATACACTGACATAACTTCGTCTTTTTTAATGACAACCATGGCTAACATAATGGATTTTTAAGTCAAAGCCACCACATACTCCTTTCTAATTCGTCGAGGTAGATCCACGTTCATGTGCGCTTCCTTGTCTTGTCCCTTCATGTGTTTTGTTAGGTGTACGGGTCTTGATCGGTGGTGATTATTTTTTAAAATATTTTTATTTAAAATTATATTAATATAATATATATTTTTATTTTTTAACAATTATTTTTTATATCATAATATTAAAAATTTTAATTGAAAATAAAAAAATAATTTTTTTGAAAAAAGCTGACACCTTACCTACTACCAATAACAACACATGATGCTGGATGGAATCATAATTTATGCAGCTTTTAATTGCAGTGGACGAATGGTTTCTGTAAGCAATGGCTAATGGACAGCCTTTATCTCGGATATCATGTCAGCTTTGACTTGGAAAAGGTGCCAGCTGGCTAATGGACAAGCCTCAACCCAAGAGTTTAATAGCCAGTGCCCATCACGAAGAATAGTCAAATAAACAATGGCCCAGAAAACAGAGTAAGAATACTACGTCGGAGATTGTATTTTGAAAATATATTTTTATAAAAAATATTTTTTAAAAAAATAAGTTATTTTATGATGTTAACTATATTATGAGTTGATTTTTTTTTAGTATTGGGATATGTTACGATAAATAAACTAAAAAATAATTTTAATTTTTTAATTTATTAAAGAACATATAAAAAAGTTAAAAAATAAAATTGAAAAAAAATTAATTTCAAAAAAAGTTTTTTTAAATTAAAAAAGTAGTATTTAAAAGAATAGAGACCCAACCTAACAAATAAAAAGATATTTTTAAATTTTTATCATTTTTTTAAAAATATTTCACTTGAAAAAAAAGTAAAACACACTTCATTAAATTAAGTTAAATTTTTTTAATGAAAAACAAATACAAAATGGTTTGAAACAAACGGGCTAAGGAAAGTACCCAAGGTGTTAGAAAAGAGGAGCCAGAGAGATGTTGCTACGTCTACATACACTCCAGTTTGCCGCTTCAAGAAACTTGTTACATGGATTAAACTATATTACGAAGCAATTACCAAATCGAGGTTTACAGATATTCACTCAGAAGGCAGTACTAAAATAGGTCTTAGCAACATTATTACACAGGATTTGCTGCACCTTGCTGTTCATGGGCCCAACACAACGAGGGGTTTTAAACTGGCTGACAACAGTTCCTAATCCTAGGTAATGCTCCAAAATCTTCTGGAAGGTTCCTCTCCAAACAACTCGGAGCTCAAGGGGTCCAATGGCCTTGACCTTCCGTGAACCAACATAGCCTGCATCAACAAAGGATCGGTCCAGGCAATTGCAACACTCTCTTAACACCTCCTCACTTGGTTCACCGCTAATTTCTAAAAAGATAACGTAGTGTCCAGGGTCTGTGGATACATCGACCAGACTGCTGAAGTCAACTATCTCAAGCTTTTCCTCGGCTAGCAGTTTGCCAGCTTCTTCTACAGATAGCTGCAAATCTTTCTCAGTGTTCTTGTCAATGTTTATGGAAAGAATAAGGTTCCTCCTGCACACAAATTTAAGTTCTGGGGTTGTGTTATAGAAACCCATAACCCTCACCACATCTCCTAGCCTGTACCTGTACAAGCCTGCAGTTTACAATCAACATCAGAATTAAATGAAAAAACTGCCATGGTGTGAACACAAACTTTATTTTCAGTCAGATAAGAGAATATGTCATATGTACATTGAATATTTCAATTCTCTATCTTAGAGAGAGAAAAAAGAAGAAGAAGAAGCAGACAGGTCCAAGTTCAGGGTAAGAGATTACAAGTAACAAATACTTGCAGGCCTAGGAGTAAAATTTCCCCTTCCAATAGTTAAAACACAAGATTTTTATATTGATTGGTTCTGTATCATTTTCATAACCTAAGGAACTTTTGTTTTACTTGGCCCGGTTTTATCTTCTAGTGCACGCTACAAGAATAAAGACAAATAAGCATCGCTTAAGCATAAGCATATATAACCACTCCTTCTGCTTACAATAATAATTTTATAACAATGACATTATCTTGAAAGTATCCTTTTTATTATATTGGACGTTGACATACAATAATCAAACAAATTACTTCTGCAGTCTATCATGTTTATTTGTGTAGATGTAATGCTATATTGTCAAGAGACTACCATTGTATATACATCTACTTCTCTAATCTAAATATAAATGATGTTTAGCCCCATTCTACCCTCAAGAAGGAGCTTCAACTGTCACCAAAGTACAGAAGACGAAGTTGAGATTTTGGCAATCACCCGTCAGGAAATGAAGATGAAGGATGTTAGGCACAAAACATAAATTAAAGCATTCATAAGATGGTTCAACTGCCAAATTCTTTTGAAAAGAAAAGCATTATTAGATGATGTAATAAGGGGGCACTTCTGCAACATCACATAAAAACAATCCTTCTTTCAGAGACTGCCAATGTGTCTGCAAATAAACATTCAACAACCACATTTTATGGAAGTTTTAGTTTTAAAAAACCTACATGTAGCAGAGAACACGGGTTTTCCAGCAAAAAGATATATATTGCTTCTAATGGGGTGCCACAAATGGGGAACCTTGCATTAGCGATGTCAGTGTGCAAACCTAAACCTGGAGGATTTCCCTAACATGTCTAATAAATGCCCCTCCAGATTTCCCTAACATGCCTAATAAATGCCCCTCCATTAAAAAAGATTGGAGTATCTAGTAAAAAAAGGTGTTCACAACTGTTCCATCTGAAACAAAGTTTATCAAAACATTAATAAATGGGGCCATGAATCAAAGACAGCTGGATCAGTAAAGTCAAATAGTTCTTGTTCCCACTGGCGACTCTAGAGAAACAAAATTAAAAATTGAAGAACATGGCAGCATGGAGAACCGAAAGATTTTCGTCAGGATAGAAGCTGTTCTTGTCAAGGCTACTGGCTAGTACACTCAAAAAATGAGAAGTAATAGAAAGTTAGGTTTGCAGATTCCTATATCATGGCCTCTACAAAGAAGACAAGAGTATTCACGGAAGGCTAAACGCATCAACAGTTGAAATAAAGCTTCTGCGCTAGTGAATTCAAAATTGTTGACAGATTATAAAAGATGGGGCTGTTAGCCTGTACGGGAGAGGCCATATAATGGAATAGAGTTTTCATTAGCAATTTTATGTCAACTTCGAGGAAAATGCATGAAGAAATTTTTTACCCTAATAAATTATTTCACAGAAAAATTAAATCTAAAAGGGAAAACTCCGTGTACCTGCAAAAGTGGTGATAATAATCTCATAATCTTCACCAATTCTGACTTCCGTCAGACCCACAGGCTTGGGCTCCATATACAGGCACTCAGCGTTGTTATTAAGAGGAATGAATTCGAAGTATCCAATATTAGGAAGCACGGCAAAAGTAGCCAACTCAGGAGGCAATTTTGGATTGACATTCGCTGCAATCCACCCTTCTGAAGAACCATAATCAGCACTCATCAATGGCAGCTCCCCTGCATAGTGCCTCAGTTTCTTCAAATAAGGCTCCATTGACCCAGTCATTATCCCGTAGATGTACTTAGCATTGGGGAAAAGCTCTGGTATTAATCCATACCAATTACTCAATCCAGAGCATTTTGTATAGATCAAATCGGCCAATTCAGGGCTTGGCTTCAGCAGTTTTGACACTGCCATTCTAACTGAAGGGGCGGTTACTCTGCTGCTTAGATCCCCGTAACGTATATCATTGCAGAGCTCCTCCCAAACTTGTTCAAAGGTCCGGAATGCAAGCACAATGCTATGAGCAAATGTAGAGAACACAAACTGAATTTCTTCGCGGAAGAGTAACCCGCATAAGAGATGGCAGTATAATGATTGATGGAAATCAGGACCAAATATCACTTCATCAGGGCTGCAGCATTGGAACTGAATTGCCTTCATTCCACTTTTGTATTTCGAATTGCGGAAGAGATTTGTCGTGGCAGTTCCTGCACCTAAACCCCCTTTTGTTTTCCATGGCTTGCTGCTGTAGACAAACTGTAAGGATTTCCCCTTCTCCAGTGGAAATTCTCTGCATTATACAATCCTCCTTGCGTCAACAGAGAACTAATCAACTAAAAATTAATACTTCTTGTTTTTTTCTTGTTATTAAACAATAGAGAACAGAAGCATATTACCCAACAAGGTAATCTTCTAGCAAATGGAAAAAGAATTCATGTTAAATGGAAAAAAAAAAAAAACTAAAAGGCTCTTCTAATAAAAACAAATACTAATTCCTTCCTAATACCTGTTTCTGAAGGCAAAAGAAGTTCTATATATCTGCAAGGTGTTTTCCATCAATTCATCATTGAAAGGGACAAGCTTTCTCCTCCCCTGAGTTGTACCAGAACTGCAACAATTCAAATTTCTCGAATTAGAAACTTAACTTCCACAAATCCACAAATAAATAATTGAAATCATGAAATATACACCTCAAAGACATGTCTGTTATGGGTTTCCCGGTGAGAATGGAAGAAGAATCACCTTCAGCAATTCTGTGAATATAAGCTTCCAAGTCTTTGTGAGTAACAAGAGGAACACAAGACTTGAAACTCTCAGGGTCAGTCCTTCCATTAAGACCCGAATTCAGCAAATACTCGGCAGATCCATTCTCTTCCAATATTTTCTTCAGGGTTTCTCGCTGAACCATTCCAGCATCTTTAGTCAATGCTTCAAATTCCTCTATCACTTTATCGGTGTTGATTCCTTCCATCTTTTTCTCTAACATCCTCACTTGCCCTTTTGAAAACTGCAATCAGAACATCAAAAACAAAGAAGAAGAGATATATTTTAGCAATCGTATAATACAAAGCGAGGTCAAAGATCAAGCTTGTACAGTTATTATTGTTCAATAAAACGACAAAGAAGGTTGGTTAATTAGGACTTTGAAATGAAACCATGGGAATATATACAAGCTAAACAGGGGTGGGGGGGAGCTATGTCACCAAAGATATGTGAAATTGCAGTGTTTTAGTACAACTTTAGTTAGCATAAATAAACCATTGACAAAAATGGGATTCATCACGTTGAATCTTCAAATATTACTATTTTGTATCCCAGCAAATCAAAAACCTCCAACGAACGTAATTTCCAGTTACTATCAAGTCACGAACCACCCCCCCCCCCCCCCAAAAAAAAAAAAAAAGATAAGAGAGAAAAGTCAAAATTTTAGTTTCTTCTCTTTAACTGAGTTTTTACTCTGCAAATTCAATGAAGAGAAATCACAGAGGAACTCAGAAGAGATATAGGAAAGAGAGTTAAAATCTATAGGCAGCAGCAGCGGATTTATAAAGGAGATAGGATTCACCAAGAATAAGTGTAAAGCTTTTAATCGTCTGCCTGACGATAGTCAACTATTTGGTCAACGTCGGGGAAATTTCTGGGAAAACGTTTCATTCAATGTATGCCATGAAACAAATGGTAAGGAAATGCATGTACAAATGAGTTCAAGCTCTGATGGACTCTCCCGGTGCAGAGAATATGCAACAGAGAATATGCAACAGAAAACAAAACAAAACAAAAAAAGATTTATTTTTGTAAGGGACAAAAAACAATCCATAAATAACAACGGCCAAAGCCAAAGGTCCTTTTTATGATTGCTAAAGTTAAAAACGGTATTAAGATTCAAGGCAGGCAGGCAGCCAGACAGACAGACAAAAAAGGACACGGAAACCAAATTATCATAAGTAGATAAATGAAATGAATCAGCAGCAGAAGAGAGGCAATACCTGAAAGAATTGGTTTATCAAGGAAAAGGAAACAGGTGGAAGTGAAAGGAGAGGAGGAACAGGGGAGGTCGTTGCTGCTTCACCGAATTCTATGCTATCTCTCCCTCTCTCTGTCACTCAGCTGCTAGTGTTAAAAGGCTATGTGAGAGAATGAAAGATTTGGAGTCCTGGCCAAGTGGCTATGGAAATGAGAAATGGTGTGTGTGTGTGTTTTGACGAGCAGAAGATTCTGTTTCGGGCCTCTTTTATAGGCAATCACCATACTCTAATATGCCAGCCCTCCTCAACTGCCGTCCACTTTTTCCTACTCCTTTCCTTATGCCCATTATCGCCTTGACTTTTCTGCCATATCACGGAAGAAAACCAGGGGGTTGAGCTTCTGAAAAGACGGTTATGGGCCTGGTGAAGTTGGGGGCTTTCTTGCTATATCTGGAATTATTGCTGGGTGTTAGACAACGATGGGTTTAATCATAATTTTAATGCTGATTTTAAAGTGGGTCCAAACCTATGGACAAGATTCTAATCTCTGAAGTAAAAACATTGAATTTTGATAATGAGTATTAGCTTTATTTCTTTGTTCTGTTTGAAGATTTGATTCTGTCCATTCTCTTGTCTCGGCAAGTACTGTTGCTGGATTTCACTAAGATTTCTTCCTTTTGAGGAATTTTATCTAATATAATTGGAACGAGTATAACTATATATTAAGGAAGAATATAATAATAAAAAAACTCAATATATATATCTACTTATTGGATCTATAGTCGGATTTTAGTTTGGAATTATGATCTAACAATTCAATTCATGTGTATTCTTGATGCACACATTAATTAATATAGTGGTTTAATTTACATTTCCAGAAATATTAAAATAAAAATTAAAAAAAATGTTACTCATTAATATAAATAAATCGATTCATCATATAAGTGAAACTTTCCATTATATAAATTAACATGTGGCATAAGGACATGTACTAGAAAACTTATTTTCTTAAAATTTTCAGTTTTGTTTTGCCGCATGAGATAATAGAGTTTATTTATTAGTTCATGCTGTAATAACCATCTTCCCTTAACTGATGCCGAAAGAAAATTTCAATAAATCTAGATTATATTTCGCTTCATATAAGTATTGTTATCATCAGGGTGTTTATAATAGTGATAAATATTTTTTTAAAAAATATTTTTTGTTTTAAAATATATTAAATTGTTTTTTTATTTTAACACTAACCTATCAAAATAATTTAAAGATACTAAAAAATTAAATGAAAATAAAAAAAATCGTTTTCTTTAAAAAAAAGGTTGCCAACTACAATTCCAAACCCTCCTTTAGGCATCCCAACTACCTATAAACTTTTACTCGTGCTTTCCGAATTTGTGTCCCATGAATATATTTGATTCGCAAAGAGAATTTTTGAAGTAGCAATATTATGACTGAAAAGTTCTCTGTAAAATAAATTTTGGTGACATGTTAACCATTTTTTACCATATATATTTCAAAAATTATAAATAAATCGAAATATTTACATCACCCAGTATACATATAAAAAATATTCAAACTTATTTTAGAGGATAGGGAATTTTAAGAAGGAAAAACAAACAGGGATAGGCTGCGCTAGGCACAAGTGATGGACCACTTGGGCCAGCAAGTTAGCCCATAAGTGCGCGCCTGACTGTGGAAACCTGACCTCGCTGCTTAAAAAAGCAAAAAGACGACGCACGGACATCGCCTTGCATGTTTTAAGCTGAATGGTCCTCCACAGTCACAATGCCACGGAGCTTGAGGTCGTGGAAAAATTAAAAATGGGCAGTTTTGCCTTAAAATACTCAAGATTTTTATCCCAAGCACCTAAAAGCTGCTTAAAACCCAATTTCAACCTCATAACTCATCTACAGCTACCAAAGCTACTCAAAGAAAGGAATCAAATACGTAAACCCAATTGCTCTCTGATCTATTTTGACTCTTTTTTTCAAGACCAAAAACAACCATAAATAAATTCTTTTTTTGTGATGAACTTAATGACATTAGTATCTATTGTTTTTATAGTCCACATAACGTTGATTGATATTTTAACTCTTAAAAATTAAAATATAATAAAAATAAAATTTAATTATTGAAATATAAACTTTGTTAATGAATAAAATAAATTATATCTTGGAATCTCATGTAATAGTTTAAGTTATTGAGTTGAAATGATTCTTTGATATAGTCTTTTAATAAAGTTAATAATTATATGGATTTAATAATCACAAATTAATTTACAAATTATCACTCATGCATGGCCAAATTCACAAAGCCACCGAGTCAACTCAGCGGTAACAATGCATGTATACTGTTTAAAAACTCCATTATTGTTTTTATCAATTAATTGTAATGGCAATTGGAAAACTACTTGTCATTAGCTGTCTCTGAATTATACACCATATGCTGACAAAATTCAAGCTGAACCCTACATAATGGTGACTACGCATACAGATTGGATATGACACAGTGGAGAAAAGGACGGGGGC